TGTTCTCCGCCACACCGAAGCACTATTGACTGAAGCATCCAGAAAACTTAATTAGTGTGTACACATGTTGTACCTCTATAAGCATTACAATCTACTTGTTGAGGCGAAACACAAATACTAAATCCACTGAAGCATAAATTCCCGTACATATTTACATATAAATTGTTACAGAAGCGTAAGCCCGATATAAAATATGGCTTAGCTAAACAAAATAAACATTTTTCTTTGCTTTGTTTTCGAGCGTAACAACAAGAACTTCTAGGAAGAATTAATCGCCTACTTTTCTTTGACAGGACGCGGACAAAAAAAAAAAAGATGGAAATAACCAAACAGGCAGCAGGGTGATTTCATAAGCCTCAGTTTACTTTTTCAAAACAAGGAAAGCAAGCTAACAATAAATTCTAGGAATGACTGGCACCGGCATCTGTTGTAATGGCCCTTATATAAGAATATGAAAGTCCTGGCATTCAGCTCACAACTACAATGAGGTATCTGTTCGCCTCACATGCTGTGTTGAACAATGGCGATCTCTGCGGCCCCATGAAGAAAGCGGGGGAGGGGGGTGGGGGGACGCTGTAGGGGTTCTGATTGTGTTCTGTGTACCGGGAAATACAAATCGCTCGATGCTCTGAAACCAGCAGGGAACCAAACTGAGGACAAGTTCAATATGGACGTGTGTGGTGCAGAAGTAAACATGGACTAGGTGCAAGGTTCCATTTGTTCGACTTACTCACCGTATCCTAGCAACGGCAGAAGATACTTTGGGTTGCCCTGCATGCCAGAAAAAGAAAGGGTCCCTGTGATTAAGCACTATGCAATGAAGACATATCGGGGAGTGAAGGTAGAGCTCCACCTTTCTTGACCTCGGTACTAGATGGAGGTGAGTGGTCAGCTTTACCCCCGGGGAAATATCCCCCGATACCGATTGGGGACCCAGAGTCTGCAAGACAGGGGAAAAAAATGGTTTCTTCCGCGGATAGTAACAACAGAAGACAGAATTTCTCGCGGCAACAGCGCGTCGGTCTTTCTACCCGAGAGTGGAATTAACTGGCTATTGTTAACATGTCTTTTAATTGTTATTCTGTTAACGAGAATATTTCTCACCCGGGGTAAAGGTAAAGCTGTCCCTGTGCTTAACTAATTAAGCACTACACCATGAAGGCGTATGGGGGAGTGGATGTATATATCCACATTTTCTTGACCTCGGCACTAGTTGGAGGTAAATGGTCAGCTTCACGCCCCTGCCACTTTAACCCCCGGTACCCATTGGATAGGAGGCTGGGTGGACCCCAAAGTTTGTCTGGACGACGTGGAGAAGAGAAAATACGATATAATAATAATAATAATAATAATAATAATAATAATAATAATAATAATAATAATAATAATAATAAAAGCATTAAAATGCACTACTGTGAGTTAAGGCTTCAGCACCACAGACAGTTTGCAGCATTTCATACTTTTCTTTTGGAGTTATGCCAAGTTTAAACCAATATTTCGCATTCGCTAGTTGCTCCACTGTTAAAGTGACAGCAGTTAAAACCACACAACTAACTCACTGATCTGCTACTCACGAACCGTCGTTTTTTTTATTTGAAAAACAAAAAGGTTATACAAAAATTGCCCAGGTAATGCCCATCCGGATTGGACTTGTTTACCCCTCCCATCTGTTGGTCAGAGGTAGAACTACAATTATATGCAGTAGTTCGCCTCACCGCCACCTAATTTGAGTACAGCAGCACTGGTCCAGGAACTTCACTGCCACACCACGCACATAGCGTAGAGCGCTAGGATGATACATGAATGATGAACTGGGAGTAATCTGGAAGGAAACGGCCGTGGCCTAATCGGGGTACTATTTGCCTGGAGGTGCTGAGGAAAGCCACAAAAACCTCAGTCAGGATAGTCGTTTTCTCGGCCAAGATTCGATCCCAGAACCTTACCGCTAAGCCAGCCTGCTTGTTGCGCGTTATTACAATTTATACTTCTGTATTTTTAAGCACATCGTGAATTTGCCTTTTAATAAAGATACCAGGAATATTCTTGGGGAGTAAAGGGAGGCTGGCGCGTAGGGCTGACAATC